GTATAAGAAACACTTGAGTAAGAATTGAGAGATGACTGCAAAAGTGTTAGCAGACACAGAAGCTTCTACACAATATATTGATAATTATATAATCTGAAGACTGAAAGAAGTTCACTGAGTGAAGGATTTTCAATGTATAAGATTATCTGATAATTAATATTTGATATTACTCACAAGAGTAAGAGTTCCCTTGCACTTCAGAGAATAATCTTGCTATATTTGAGCATGAGAGCTGCAGAACATAGAATATAATCTTATTCTCAGACTCAATTGATTTCAAAGATTCAATCTGCAGATTCAATGATGTACATATTATATACAGTTGACTGATAGAAATAAAACAGTTCATACAATTCTATTAACTGATATAAGAAGAACATTTCACATCTCTGATATAGAAGAATTAAATCTGCTTACACATTAATAAGCAAAGAGAACAATTTATAAGACCTTATTCAAAAGCATTCTGTATATCATACAGGACCTGAAAGCAGAGAAAACCAAGATAAAAGATATACAGAAGAATAAGCATATGAAGAAGCTTCTGAAGAAGCATAGAAAGGTCTTCTGAACAGATCTTTCATTAAAATTGCTGCCAGAACAAGGATTTGTACATGAGATTGATATAAGGGATGCAAAACCAGTCAACCAGAATGTGTATTCTCTGTTTCAAATGCATCTCAAAGAACAGAAGCATCAGATCACTGATCTTCTAGAATGTAGTCTTATATAACTCTTATCAAGTGCATGAGGCTTTTCAGTTCTATTTATAAAAAAGACAGATGAGGAGTAATAGATGTGTATTAATTATCAAGCACTTAATAAGCTTATAATCAAGAATGAATATTCACTGTCACAGATTCAATAACAGTTGAATACAGTTGAAAACACCTAATATCTATTAAAGATCAATCTTCTCTCAGAATACTGACAGATCTGTGTAGATGAACTGTCAGTTTCACAAACTGTATTTAATATACAATGAGAAAAGTTTGAATTCCTGACAATGTCATTCAGTCTGATAAATGTGTCTGTCATCTTTCAAATAATGATGAATACAATTCTTCATAAATAAAATAAAATCTCATATCTTGTATATCTCAATAATATTCTAGTCTTTTCAAACTTATACAATGAATATCTGAAGTATCTTGATGAAGTGCTTATAACTCTGACAGAGTATAAGCTCTATATCAAATCAATAAAGTGTGTGTTTGAAACAGAAGAGTTAAAGTTTATAGAATATATAGTGAGTAATAACTGTATACATCTCATTCTGAAGAAATTGAATGTCATAGTGAATTGACTGCAGCTGAGAAATATACATCATGTACAACAGTTTCTTAAGTTAGTCTCATATTATCACAGATTCATCAAGAATTTCACATAAATATCTGCATCACTCTCAGATCTCTTAAGAGAAACAGATACAAATCTGTAAAAGAAGAAGTTTCATTCAATCATCTGAAATGCTGTGTGTGAAGAGACTTTTCTCACACTGAGAGAACATATAATAACATTCTCAGTGCTTATTTAATCAGATTGTGATAAATCTTTCTATATCAAGACAGACACATCTGAATGAGCTATCAGAGATGCTCTTCTACAGATGAGTAAGAACAGCAAGCTGTACTCAGTGATGTATAATGATAGAAAACTATCAGGCACTGAGCTCAATTATTCAGTGTATGAAAAGGAATTGCTAGCAATCAAGCATACACTGATATTGTGAGATAGATATATTGACAACAGGCATACTACAACAGTAATCACAGATCATGAAAGTCTCATCTATCTACAATTAATAATAAAATCTTTCAAACACTTAGTATATTAAATCTCAGAGTTCTAAGTGTACAATCTTCATATTAAATACTGAAAGAGATCAGACACTGTGATATCTGATATAATCAGTCACAGATTCAATTTCATGAGTGAGGGTTCTGCAAACCAGATATAAGAGATGTTCATATTAAACACACTGAGAGAATGCAAGAAATCAGAATGAGTGAATATTATGATCTCTCACTTGAAGAATGACAAGATATCAGATGACAAGCATCTTGTGAGAGTAGTAGAAGAGATGCTTTTAAACTTTCAGCTGAGAAAATTGAAAAATAACATTGTGCTTTACTGCAATCTAGAATACATAGAAGCTCTCTATCTAGAATCTTCATTTAGATGCAACTTGATAACTCACATGTATAAGAAATTCAGTCACTTAGAAAGCTCTGAACTCATCAGTGTACTCAAACTAAGAGTATACTGGTCAAGCATGACTGAGGACATTCAGATATATGCTCACAAGTGTCTGAATTATCAGATCATAAAAGAATCTAAGAAAGAATTAGAATGTAAGAAAGCATAATATCAGATAAAGTATACAATACAATTATTTAAATAATGAGAGATAAATCTCATAGACATATTACTGTGAACATCAAATGAAAATCAATGAATAATCACTGCTATTGATTACACTACTGACTGGCCAGTTGTGAAAGCAGTTTCAGAGACAACAGAGAAGATGATAATAAAGTTTCTATATAATGAGATCTATGTTAACTATGAAATACCACATGAGATTCTAACTGATAACAGTGTGAACCTTGTAGAAGAAGCAGTGAGACATTTCATGAGTCAGTTACAGACAAGATATCATAGAACAACATCATATCATCCGCGGATGAACAGGAAGATGGAACACTTGAATGAAATCTTGAACAATATGCTGATGAAATATCTAGTGAACAAGTCTATAAGACTATGAGATGAATATCTCAGGCAGGTGCTACTGGCCATGCAGATTCAATAGCATGCAGTCTCTAAGCATTCATCATTCTACCTGTTGTATGAATTGCATCCGCACATCTCAGAGAATGCTTCAGAAAAGGTGAGAGAGAGAACAGCAGTTGCAGATACAACAGTCACAGACACAACAGTCATAGACACAGCAGAAACAGCAGTTACAGACACAGCAGTAGCAGTTGCAGATGCAACAGTTGTGAACATAGAATCAAGATTGAAAGAGATCAGCCACACACATGTAAAAGCTAACAAGTTACTTCTGAACTGAGCAATTCAATTGAAAAGAATATGAGACTCACTAGTTAAGAAATCAAGTCTCAAGATAAGAATGTGAGTTCTTATACATAATGAGAGTTCTGAGAAGTTTCAACCTAGATGATTTGAGTCATATAAAATACTCAAATCACATTCTCTGAGAACATACATATTGAAAGAATCAGAGAGATGAGTCTTATACAACTTAATCAATAATTCATAACTTATGAAAGCAAAGATGCAAGACTTAAGCAGATTATAGTCATTCACAGCACTATCATCAGTGTTGAAAAAGAAGAGACTTATAATTGAAAAGTCTCATAAAGTAAGAGAAATTATAGACACTTATAAATCAGATGATCTCACTTATTTCAATCTTTTTACAATTATAAGAAAAGAATGAGAAGTAATGAAGAAATCAGATAAACATCACACTTCAATAAGTGATGAGACTGTAGTCAGTCATATAATAACACACTGCAGATAGTAAGTACAACACAGTAAAGAGCAGTCTCAAAGCAGCAGACTTACACATGAATCAGATTATAGAAGAAAAAGAAATTCAGAGTTAGATTTGACTATTTATATCAGTTCAATCACAGAGATCACAGAGAATGAACTATCTGAAACATTCACAGATACATGAGACTAAGTCATCTCAATCACTGAGAACACTCAGAGATCAGACAAGATTAGTTTTGATGAGCTGTTCACTGTAGTAATCTAAGCAGGCAAAGAGAGACAGTATAATACACAAGACAGAATCACAAAAGATGAAAGCTGTCAAATCTAGTTATTGAACACTGTATCATATAGAGATCACATAAGAGTAGTGACTAGCAGACAAAGAAAAAGTATAAGAAAAGAGAAATGAATTGATCATCAATCATAAGAGTCAGTCACAAAAGACAAATATTATTATACACATCTCATTCATTTTCATACATCACATGTTTAATCTATTTCCAATATCACATCATCTGAAAAACATCAAAAACAAAGGAAATCTCAAAACTCAAGATCTGCAAGAAATTCAAGAGCTGCAAGCTGCTCTCACAACAATGCTGTGCATGTCTCTGATTCCTCTACTGCTCTGTGTATGACATTAATGTCATTTATCACAAGATTGACTGGAATGCTAATATAGAAATGTGTACACATACATGTAGAAAAATTGAAGAAGAGTGCAGAACTCACAGAATCAGAAGTCAGAGTAGAGAGAATGAAGATAGAAGAAATGAAAGAAGAAGATATAGAACTGAACAAATAACAACAGAAGTCATTCAGAGCTGAACACTTATAACTCAGTGTGTACACAATCTTCTCTGTAGAAGAGAAAGAGAAAGCAACAGAAGAAGCTTGAGAGTGAGAGAGAGTAGTCTCAGTAGCATTATCATCTTCAATTAAAATGATCTCTGATACTGAAGTAACTAAGAACTATTATTAGCATACAAAACTATAAAAGCAGGAGTAACAATTACTGAATGAACACCTACTGATCTTAGAATTGTATGCATAATTACAACACACACAAGACTTCTCAGAAAGAGAGAGAGGGACATGAGAGAATGCAGAAAGTAGAACACAGCATGCAAATAGTTCATTCTCATAACAACATCTCAGACAAGATATATAAGCCTCACATCTGTGAGTGTAAAAGAGTACAACATCTGTGTTTCTGTTTCTGAAAACACAGATATCTTTTATCTGCATCACAAAGTCAGATGACAGACATCAGAGAATAGACTAATACAGATCTATTATTCTGAAGAAATTCATCAGAGCAGATATCTCTGTAATATTAAACTTTACAGTTATAAAAAGTTTCTTGATGTCTGTGAACATCACAACTTCATATACAATAAAATTCATAACAATTTTCTCTAAGAATAGAAAAATCAGTATCAGAAAGAAAAGATAAAAAGAAAAAGACTTACAATCTTAACACTGTTAAGAGAGGAAGTGATTCTCTGATATGAATAAATAATTGTCTTATTATAAATAATTAAAATGAATGTAATAATCAATGTCTGTGATCAAGCTTCAGATAGTCATGTTATACATCATCTTCATACAATAAATTATTCTAGAGATCAGTAAGAAGAGCAGAAGTGTACATACTGAGAAATGTAATTCACTGAGTCTACATAACATCTTCTTGAAACAGAGAGAGCTAGTAACAAAGGCAGTAGTAAGAGCAGAAGTAGCGGGAGTAGAGGTCACAGAAATAGAGGTAGCAGAAGCAGGAGAATCAGACACAGAAGCAGATATAGAAGATTGAGAAAGAGCAGCAGAGAAAGAAACAGAGAAGGCAGAAAAGAACACAGAAGACTCAGTCACACATAATATAGACAATTTCTTCATTATCACATTCTTCAAGTTCTCAATCAATGATTCAACATTGAAATCACAATCATTAACAGATATGAATCTATCAATGTATGAAGATTCTATGCAAATCAAAACATCAGTATCTACAATTATACAACACAATCAGAAAAACATGATCAGATATTATAAGAGATAAGAGAGTCAGAGATATATAAGAAGATGAAGAAGATGTGTCATCTATAATAGTATGTTCTGACAATTGTTAGAAGATAAACAAGTTCTGATCACATTTCATAATGTGTTATACTTACTACTAATGAACTGCTCAGTATGAGCACTACAAGAACACTTGTTATGAGAATGAAGAGTCATTATCAGAAACATGTACAATATGATAGATGAACAGATGAAAAGAGTTAAATAGAAGAAGAAATAGAAATCTTGAATGAGATAGTAATATTCAATAATGACAATGATGAAGAAGATGATTGAAGAATGAGAAAAGTTAGTGAAGAAGTAATGTAATATAGTGAAAGTTTCTTTATAAGAGTGTACACAGAATGCTAGCCAAATCAGAAATAGGTTATAAGATTGCAAACACTAGTGATGTGCTAATCTGCATGAAGCTAGAATAGATGTCATGATCACATGAGTATGATCAAATCTGGTGAGAAACAATGTGATTTGAAAGAACATATGACTGTCAGATAATAATGCGGCTGCTTTTAAACTTGCTTATGAGAGTAAAGAGGCTATAGCGGCCACTAATTAATTTAGTGTATGATATATAAGAAGCCGGCGTACGCCTGTAATTATACACTGGCTTAAGCAACCTTTGAATCACAATATTTTATAATATTATCAAGTGTTTGCAATGCTGATTCACATGCTTTCATTCATGAATGAAACTTCTGTTTTACATGATTCTTCAATCATTCATTGATATATCAATCTTAATTAATTAATAAACTGATGATATCTTTATCTACACTCAGTTTCATGAGCATTTCCATTCTTCATAATGAGTAGAGAGTGAGATCAGAAGTATTGAAATATACAGAGATATCTAAGCATTCTTTCAGCACTTTTGTAGATGATGAAGTTGTATGAGTAAATTGTTGAATTTCTTTATATTAAAGCTGTTAAGTGACATGCATGTTAGCTATCTATTATTATTATAGTTTTAACATTACTCAGAGTCACTGTATTATTATATCTATACTCACACTCAAGAGTTCTTTCATATTATTGTTAGATATGATTATATTATTTATCAGATATATGATATCTGTGAAATCTGAAGAAGTGTAATTATATAAATATCTTATACATCTGAGTGTCAGAACTCTCAGATCTTTTACTGATATTCTCTTATAAAATCTTACTCTCTTTGTAAGATCTTGTTACAGAGTCAGAGTGACTGATGAGCAAGCTTCTATCTGAGAACTCAGTGTTCACTTTAACTGATTATTTCTCTTTCTTATGCATTGTTACATATTCAGATATCTCTCAATGAATAATCATTTCTAATAAGAAGACAATGTGTGAATAATCATTTCTAATAAGAAGACAATGAACATTTTTCTAATGTAAGAGATCTACACTGAATAGATCAGTATGATATTGATAGGTCTTATATAATAAAGAGAAAAATGTTAAAGAAGAAAAGAAAAGAGAAAGTGCAAGAATCAGTGATTGAAGTGGATATTTATACATGTATGTAGTGGCCGAGGATCGGCGATCGAGAATGGCCGAGAATCGGAGCATACGCGTTCGTGGCGGCCGAGGATCGGCGATCGAGAATGGCCGAGAATCGGAGTGTACGCGTTCGAGAATGGAGCGGTTGGAATCTGTGAAGTGTAATGGAATAGTCTATATAATTGATCGGGCGCAGCCCCGCCACAGAGGACTCTATGAAGACTTTCTATTTT